CTTGAGCATATCTTGTTGATGCATGGAACCATTTGTACCAAAGTTGCTACTCCATCTTTTTTTTTCTTTCCCAAGATCAAAATTTAGATATTGCCAAAAATGTAAGGGTAACTCTGCCATCTCCACAGGTACCAGTGGAGTACCTTTATTATTTTTACAAATAATTAAGGGCAGCAACATACTATTCCTCCTCTTCCTCTTTTCCCCATAACCATCTCCCTCTGAGATGGGTTGAGCTCAGAGTGAATGACTGGCCCAAAGTCATCCATCTGACTTTCATGCCTAAGGTGGCAGTGGAACTCAATATAAATTCTCTATTGTTTCTAGGCAATGACCAATTGCAAGAATTGTGTGAAATTACAAATAGGATAAAGCATCTCTATGGGTTGTTTGGTACTCTCTGCACCAAGAGGCAAAGTACAGTATGTTACATCTTCCCCTTCCTTTCCGTTTGTATCCTTAACCATAGATTAGTTATTTTAACTTCATATCAAACCATAGTAATCGCTGATAATTTCTAGTTGAGTCCTAGAAAGTAAACTTTCCAGATGTTTAAATCTGTCTTGCTCTGGAATACATTGCATGAAATCCTTGAACTTTTTGTGAAGTAGTAGGGAGGAAGGAGGCCACTTTTTCATAGGAAGGAGTTTACAGGGGGCTATTTACAAAACTGTCCACTGATTTCTGCAGTTGGTGAACCAGCCACTATATGTATTGCAGTGCTTTGCATGTGCAGAAAAATGAAGCAATTTATGTTTCTTTCTATTCTATACACTTTAGCTTGTATTTCTTTAGCAAAGTGTTAATGTGGTTAGAATAGTAGATTTCAGGAGACACCTTAATCAGGATTGTATCATTGAAAGCATTTGCTCTAATCCATTTGTTCACATTTCACAATAGTTATATCTAGCAGCAAAGTGCTTCAACCTGTTCCTTTTGTGATGGGTAAGACAATATATGCAGATTTTCTTCCATTTTGATTTTTATTTTATAATTGCATTTTATAACAGCTAAATTATGTGCATGTTTGGAAAGTCAACTCCAAGCATGAAATTTTTAATACCGTATTGATTTTGATACTGCCAGAAACCAGTAAGAGTAAATAATATCTTACCTAAGGCTTGTCTAATTAAAGGTAAGTTATCCTTTTTAGAACATTTTACCTTATTGAAATATAATACAGTGATGTCACTTGTTAGGCAAAAGAAATTGGATAGGGAGCTAGCCATTAAAGGTTAAAAGTAGAATTTAAAACAACATAAGGCTTTTATTTTTGTTTTTGTTTTTTCATCATGAAGATGGATTGGAAGGTTTGTCAAGCAGTAAGGAAGCTGAAGTTAAATCCTTGTTGAGGAAGGTGAACCAGGGAAGGAACTTTCAGATTAAGAGTAAAGATTCAACTGAGGACTGAAATAGAGAGAATAAAACCTTTGATTTAAAAAAAACAGCTCATTGGTAAGGTTAGGGCAGCATCCAAAGAAAAAGATGGAACTACTTTGGTGAAATGATGGTACACAAATTTCTAAGCATATGTATTTCAAGCAGTTGTTTTGCTGTTTTTAAAATTTATATTGAATTATGAGAGGTCCTTGGAGCTCTCTGAACATGGTTGTTTTATATAGAATTATCTTTAATAGAATAATCTATTGTTTATAGAATTATCTTTAAATACTAAGGACAGGTTCCCAAAATAACTAAGAAACATCCTGGTTGCATCTATTTCTCTTAGAAGTATTAATTCTAGAGGAAACCATTCTGACACTTTCTTTCCAGAAATATTTTCATTTTTAATTAAAATGGGGTTACCCGTCTGGGGCTGCAGAATTCCAAAATGATGTTAAATTTGCATAAGTTTTCAGTATCATTTCTAGATTTTTATCTATCTGGATTTTTACAAGCTCCAAATGTTAATTTCATTTAAAACTCATGGGCTTAATTTAGTTGTCTAAAGTTCTTTCTTATTTAAAGTTCATTGCCTTTTTTTTGGACCCATGCTCACAAAAGTAAGAAAGGAACTTTGGTAGCATTTAATTCTAGGTAAGTCATTAAAAGTCATGCTGATGTTTTAATAATTATTTACTGTTGTGATGTTGTTTTAACAAAAGTTTTGGTTTCTTATATGACTTAGAGGGGCGGCAATGGCTTTTGGTCAGATTCTGGCATATCTGGGGATTCCTCCATATATATCTCCATAGAAGTATCACACTATTCCCTTTCAGAATAAGCAACACTAAGCAGAGGAAAAGAATGAGAAATAGTGGGAGGAAATATAGGCAGGAGATTAGAAAAAAAGAAAAAGAATCTAACCAGGTTCAAAGATTTGCCCTCCATTACACATCATGGCTTTGAACAGTCAAGTCTTTCACATAAAGCTTTTTGTAAGAGAAAGGAAAAAATAGGCTAGGTTATTAACCTTAGATGTACACAAGGAATTTCTCTGTGTCGCAAAATATAAAAAGGTCATAAGATTATTTTATACACTAGGAGGAGATAGCTATTTCATGTGTAAGAGAGAAACAATAGAAGTTTTGAATCAGTGACACAAAGAACCTTGATTTGGGATTTGAAATAATCAATAACAGTTTAGGTTGTTGCTTCTTTCCTGGAACCCAAGTGTAGGAACAGTAAACTTTGACATCTGAAGACTGAGCATTGCTGAGGCATAATTTAAGCTTATTCATTTGTAGTTCTACACAAATATTACAAACTGGCAAGAACTCCATTATTTCCTTTTCAAAGAAAAACAGAAGGTAGGTAAAAACTTCAATCTTGAATTGATTATGGGGTTGATGATGAAGCCCAGAAAACTATTAATTACAAATCCCAGGATTTTTAATTCCACATATTTTCCTATGACATAAGGTTGCAATGTCTTTGGCAGACATTATTTTAAATAATACTTTTTACATTTCAGATTTATTTTATTGTTTGCATAACTTCTACGAATATGCACCATAAAGAGATATATACATATATATACAACAAACAAATGTACACAATATAGCTTGTGAAGAAATGTAGCACTGTTTGCTGCATTTGCACAATATACCTAACCTGTTTACTCAACTCATCGGCTGGATATTTTAAACCATAATAGAATAGAATTTTTTATTGGCGAAGTGTAATTGGACACACAAGGAATTTGTCTTGGTGCATATGCACTCAGTGTACATAAAAGAAAATATATGTTAATCAAGAATCATAAGGTACAACACTTAATGATAATCATAGGGTAGAAATAAGCAACCAGGAAACAATATCAATATAAATCGTAATATAAATCGTGGGAGGAGATGGGTGGTGGGAATGATGAGAAGATTAATAGTAGTGCAGACTTAGTAAATAGTTTGACAGTGTTGAGGGAATTATTTGTTTAGCAGAGTGATGGCGTTCGGGAAAAAACTGTTCTTGTGTGTAGTTGTTCTGGTGTGCAGTGATGATCTAAATGACCTAAATGGACTGAATTTGCACCTGGAAAACTACAAAAACCTAACAAAGGTTAATACTAACCAAACATAACATGTTGTACAAATATAGGTAGCAATTCTTTATCTGACCTGGTTAAATGCTGTATGAATAAGCCATTCAGTTTAGAGTTTAAAGTATCAATCATCAAACATGCAAATGAAAATGAAGTACCTTTTCAGGTGAGTGCACAATTTGAACTCTAATGGAATTGAAATGTGTGGAATCACCTTATTTTCACTCTAACAATATTCTCACAGAAGGTTCATTTGGGGGGAATTAGATTATAACAACCCCTTTCTCCATTTTTATCCATATAAACTGTTTTCATTTATGTTCTATATTCTCTCCACTGTCCTCCCCTCCCCTCATCTCTTTGAATTTCAGCAGTGTGTTTGCACCAAGAGAAGCTGTAGTTCTCTGATTATATTCTGGCCAGTGAGTGGGATGCCTTAATCTCCTTGAGCAGTTTATAGCAATGGGCTTTATATGTATTGCATGCCCACATGATGCTATTTTGGAGAAAACCTGCCTTGTATCTTGTCAATAACCTGATATTTGTAGAAGCAGACAGAATTTGGCCTCAAATGGACCTTCAAGAACTCAAGAACTGAATATTATAAATATGGAACATTATTCCTGATAACAATTCATAGATTCACTTCTACATTATCTCAATATTTCTCTGTCATATCTTTTGATAAGAATTCTTTCATCTGCAAGAATGCATTGTGTCAATAAATTCAGTCTTTAATCCAAGATTGTATTTTCCATGCAGGGATTCTGATTTAGAACATTTGAATGGGCAGTAAAGGATGGATGGCTCTGTTCCAGTGGTGGATTCCTCCCGGTTCGGCAGAGCCGGTAGCGGTGACGATATGTGTCACCGAACCGGTTCTGCCCCCCCGCCTCCCCCCGCGCCCTACCTTTTTTTTGGCCCCACTCCCAATCTATTGCTGCCTCCTGAGTCCCAGCTGATGGCTAGAGAGAAAAAAAACTGTTTAAACTTTTGCCATGGGGCTTCAAAGGGCCACTCTACAGCTGATCAGTGTTAAAAGAAAACAAATGAGTAGACCGGTGCCTGCAAAAATAAATGGGTAGATCCAGTGGTGGGATTCTACTTTGGTAGAGCCGGTTGTTAAGTAGTTAAGTAGTTAAGCAGTTTGTTTTTTTCCACTTTACAGGGTTAATCCTGTAAGGATTAATTACAACATTTGGTGTTGTTTCCTAGCCTAATCTTTATTATAGAAACTGCCTCTCTGGCAGTATGTCTAGACTTACTGTCACTTCCGGTTCCGGAGGCTATTTTTTTGCTTGACTTTCTTAAAGGGGAAGGGTAGTTTTAAGCTTTTTACACCAGTGTTGGGAGGAAATACTCCCCTGTTGGAGTTCTTCCAGCCAGGGTGCAATCATCAGCACTTTGAAGAAATAATTGAATCCTTTTGTGCATATGGACTACTCAGAGGCTGAAAAAGTTATTTTTGACTGGTCCTCGCACTTTTGACCAGTCCTCAAACTTATGACTGTCTTCACATTTTATGTTTTTTGCCCTATCTTGTCACCATGGTGAAGCGAAGCAGTTGTGAAATGAGTGACATGGTTGTTAAGAATGCTGCATGGGCATAAATGTGAGGATGGTCATAAGTGTGAGGACCAGTCAAAAGTGCGAGGACCTGTCAGAAATGACTTTTTTCAGCCCTCTGAGTAGTCCCTATACATATAGCCATGGCCACCCGGTCACTTGACCAGCTAGCCACACCCACCCAGTCACATGACCTCCAAGCCACGTCCACAAAATAAGCCATGCCCACAGAACCGATAGTAAAAAACTTTAGAACCCACCCCTGCTCTGTTCATAAGCAAATTGCAGCTTTTGCTTACTATTATCTTATTACTTCTGATGAGGAAGCATGATCTTATTTTAGAAATTAAACTGGTGTTGTGTCCACTTTTAATTGAGAGAATCCATTAGAATTCAACAGCATTTACTTCTGAATAAATATTCTTATATGTGTAAGATATTATCTTATTCTGTGAATTTACCTAATTCTCCTTCTTCCACCTATAGCAAATATGTGAGGTGGGTTGGACTGAGAGAGAATGGCTTGGCCAAAGTCATCCAGTGAATTTGTCTGAGGGAGGTCTAGAATTCACAGTCTCCTGGTTTCTAAGCTAGCATCTTAACCACTACACTTAACTGGCTTTTTAAGATGGCTTCCTTTCGATTAATCTTGACTTCTGGTATTTTCATGGACATACTCACCAGTTTTCTTGGCAATAACATGGGAGTGGTTTGATATTACATTTTAGGAGGCAGTCATGTAAATTGAATAAATTCCTAAACTCTTATAAACCTTCCATTTAAATATTAACCAGGTTCAGCCCTGTTTATTTTCAAAACCCAGATAAGATTGGCTGACTGCTACTACTTGGAGGCTGATAGGTAGGCAAATTACTATTCTGGGCTGATTAACTATTCATCTCATTACATGCCTTCCACTGGTTCTATTGTGGCAACATGGCTGAGCTTCAGCCATTCCTTATGGCATGATCTTGTCTCACTAATTTTGGAGCAAAAATAAATCCTCACGGGAAGATGCTAGGACATGTGGCCAACTCCACTATTCTTTCAGCTTTAGTTCCTCCAGTCTATGGAGAGGCGCCAATAACTTTCCTTGGCATAGGAAAAGGACTGCAGTACTTAAAAAAAGAGATTCAGCATGGTGAGATGCTTGGATTATTGCAGCAATTGGGCCAGATCCAACTGAAAAAGTAATCCGTTGAAAAGTACTGATGCTCTGAACATAATCCAACCAGATGCCTATTTTCAAATAACAAATTCTGTGTGACACATTTCTGCTTCAACTGGAGATACAATAGGCAAAGCCAAAATGTCCATTGTAGCAGTCATTTGTATATGTGTGTTTTATTTTTTTTTTAAAAAAATACGAGCAATATTTTTCCCCTTATTTTTCTAAGAGCTTTTTTCTTCTCTGTTTTTTGTCTTGAGCCTTTAGGGCACATAATGTGCTATTTCTTCTCCTTTCTCCCAGTCATGTCTTTATCTTTGCAAAAATGAATCTACACAAAGAGCACCATGGGAAGCAAGATTGTGTCCTGTGTCTCTCATGTATCAGACAGTGTGCAAATGATTTCCTCTATTCTGATATGTGTCGTGACACCAGCTTCACAGCAGCAGACATATACATATATATATATATATATCCCAGATTCCAAAAGCTTTAAATGCATACATTGATTAGTTTCACTAAGACAGCCACTTTATTGGAGCTTACCTCTGAGAAAGCATGTTTAAAATTGCATTAGAGCAGCTTGTACTGCATAAGAATGCCAAATCCTCACCTTTATCATTTGACTTTGTCATTAAGAGTTCCATGAAGTTGGGGACGGTTATTTCTTGCACATACCGTAATATTTTACAATTAGATAACAGGAAAAGCAATATAAAATCAGAGTTACAAACACACACACACACACGACAAAGAGCGGAAAACAAGATCAAAACAGTTCTGTTTCTGACATTTAATGCTTACCCTGATACCTTCCATATGCATCTGGGAATAATGTGAGTCGCAGTCCAACTTATCTAGAGAGAATCAAGTAGGGAAGGCTGGCTTAGATGAACAAAAGTAGATCAGGAGGCACTAAATGATGATAAAGGTAAAAAAATAAGCACAATGTGAACTTCTGTGTAGCAGAGATTCCTCATATGATATCTTCTTTCAGAATGCCATCCACCTTACTTCAAATGAGAGAAGAACACATAATAAGACTTGCTTGGTTATTTCAATATATATATATATATCGGCTGTTTAACATGGAAGCAAGCATTTGTTTATATAACAATTTCCCAAGCTGTGCAGCAAAATACATCTTGGATTGTGTATGTAAGTGGAACATCTGCTAGCACTACTAAATACATAAAATTACCTTCGCAGAGGGGAACTGTTGATGCTAAATCTAATGTTATTTTGGTACCAGGCAAATATGTTTTTATAGTCCCAAAGTTTTCCAGGCTTTTTTTTTACTTAAGGTTTTAATTTATCCTTAATTCTATTAGATTTAATTTTGTTTGTTCCCTGTTGCTTCTATGATTTTAATAATTTAATGCATACATACTATATTGTTTTGTTTGAGGTTTCCCAAGAGGTTTTTTTTTTTTCTATGAATAGTAGCAAAAAAAAAAAAATCAGACTTCCAAGAAAATTAGATTTTTCAAAGTAATTTAGAGTTTCTTGTGAGCCATATTGTGTGAAATGTGTACAGAAAATTTGTGGGTTTAATTGATTGTGTGAGCATGTCTGGGTTACAGAAGTGTAGCAGCTAAGAATGAAAATAACTCTGAATCAGTCTACCTGTAGCCAATGTCACTGCTTTATGTTTTACAAGCTTTCCACTGCCATTATCTCAATTTATGAGGAGGTGGTTCATTTTTTTCTTCTCTCCTTTCTTGTCTGTTCTTCTTTTGTGTCACAACATTTACATTATAAGTCTGCAGCAGGGGTGGGTTCTACTTACCTTTATTACCGGTTCGCAATGGGGCTGCGTGCACGCTCTTCTGAGCAGCGCAGAAGCTGCTACGCATGTGCAGAAGCGTTCTGATGATGTCGGGGTCAGTGGGCAGAGCCTCCCGCTGGTTTTACTACCAGTTCTATAGAACCAGTGAGAACTGGGGGCAACCCACCACTGGTCTGCAGTATAAGTTATTTTTAACTTATTTGTTTCCCAAAAATATATCATTTTATTGTACTTGCTAAACTATTGAAAACAAACCTTTGGAAAAACATAACGATTGTGCTTATGCTTTCTGCTTCTTTCTTTGCTGGTGGATTAACCTAAACATGGATATTTACCAGCCAATCACCTTGCCCATTTATATATAGACTCTATGCTTCTCACGTTGTAGCTATCAGCTACAATGATAGCTCAGTAGTGAACCCTTTCTACAAACAGACTTTGCTTTCTATTCCACTAGAAAACATAAGCCTCTGTTTAATATAACCAAAGGAGATCCAGCTGGAGAGCTGGAGCCAGATCAATGCAGTTAGCTTGTGCTTCAAGACAGATGAACATGGCAATATTGGTGAAACCTGGAATTTTCTCAACAAGTCATTGGTATCTATTATAATTTATTACACTGAAACGCACATTGTAGAATATTTATTTTTTTCCCTCCTGAATCTTATGTCAGTTGAATTATTTTACTTTTACACAGTTTTACTTTACTATTTCCTTCAACTCAAGCAGAATCCCTTACTGATTCTGCATTGCAAGAAAAAGCAAATATTTTAGCTAGGCTTACTGTCTATTACTGTTCAAGACTCTGAATGGGTGAAAATATCATCTGCTACCACTTGCAAACACACCTCTGAATGAAGTCCTGGAGATGCTGGGTGGACCAAGGAGACCAAGTTTATATTTGCACTCAGTCATGGAGTACCACCAGTGACTCTATTCAATCATACTCTTTGCACAGTCTACTTCCTACATAGGAAGATAAATTAGAGAACATCCCTATGGATACCATCTTGAGTTCTTATAGAAAATGTTTGAAGTATGGAGTTGGAAGTTGGAAATATGAAGTAAATAATTAAGATTTTCTTTCTGATGATTTTGGTGAATTTTATATGTAATCCCTATTATGTTTATTCAACATTATATCCAAATTACTGCAGTTTCAGCCTAACTTTTAAAAGAGTCCATGATAGATGCCTTCTTGCCCTCTTCCTTTCAGTTCCTCTTTTGTTTCAGTTGTTTCATCTTTTTTCTTTCTCTTTTAATCATAAAATAATTCTCCACTTTAATTCATTACAGCTACTAAAGAAATATCTGCTTTATCTCCAGTATGTACATTTCCCAAAGCATGGGTGAACATAGCTACTAAAATATTGATTGTATAAATTACATATTTTTATTTTAGTCTTTCTACTGAAGTATACAACATAAACATGCATATTCACATTAGGAGGATTGCCAAGCAGCTGCATTAAAGTACAATCTACTGTTTTTTGAACTGACAGAAAAATATTCTGGCATGAACTAGAATATTCTAGGGGCTGAATCCTCTTTTGCCTCAAAAACAAGGCCAGCAAGTGGCATTGTCATTACAGTTTTAATGTGGAACAAGGAAAGTAATTGGTGGAGTCTGGCTTCGTTTTCCCTGCCACTGAACATCATCTCCCATCAAAATAACCACCAACTGGTCTCTGTAATATTTGGTGAGATAGGGCTGGTTGAATGTGGGCAGGTACTTTGAATGGCAGGTTAGCCATCTTTAAAATTGCTCAAATAACAAGTCACAGTTAAAGAGATACTCCATGCTTCTGATATGTCAGTAAAACTATTTCTGACATGCATCTAATACTCCAAAAGATAAAGCACAAAGAAACTCTTGTAAGAAGCATTGGGGCACTTCCTTTACCTCACTATGGGCTCTTCCTCCATGCCTATGACCTTTCAGTTAATCCAACATGCATGGACAACTGGCTTGATGCAAGACCCTGAAGGTAAACCAGAACAGAAAATGGATTCAACAGAATTACTAGAATTACAGTTTATTGAGATAGGCTATAATAGTTTTCTAAAGATTCTTAATATCCCAAAGGGTTGGAATATAGTTCTTGGCAAGCATTTCAGAAAATGGGCTAGTCAGTAACCTCTGTAAAAGCCCAAATGACTGAAATGGCCATAAAGGGTGCCCTCTAATTGGATGGAAAGAGATGTGGCCACAAAAGCCTAAATGGGCCTCATTGTAATCGGTGACTACATTGTGGCTAAAATGTTTGTAAAACTGAAACAACTAAAGATTACTTTAAAGTGGAGAACTGGAGAGAAGACAAAGGACAGCATGAAGAGATAGGCCATATTACAATGATTACTGGAGCCCATTTGGGCTGCAATTAAGGGATGTGAGGATGAGTCCCTTTATATGTATAACTATTATAGAATAACTTTATATTTCTTTTTAAAGATTTCAGGGAAGAGCATTTAGTACAGTCACATCCAGTTGTTTCCAATTCTCTTTTGAAGTCTATTAAAAACTAAAATTAGACTTCAGGATATATACAGTGCTTTGTGCTCTACTACCCTTAATAATGTTCCAAATAATTTTGAAGTCCTTATGCTAAGATCAATGAGAAAAGAAACTTTTCATCTATAGCAAGTAATAGTTGAAGTTCCCTGTAGCGTAAGAAATACACAAGATTATTTTTTATTAAGGACAGTAAGATATTATGGCAAAGCCAAATTTAATATAAATAGACAGGTTTTATGCATTGAAATACCCTTTCACAGTTTCACAGTCACTATTCACTAGGGGAACAAAAGTGATTGTCTTGTTGCCCAGATGATCAAAAGAATTAGATCCAGTTGCTAATAAAGGTTCATATTCCTATTGTGTTAATGGCAATAATTTTAAGCACTACCATGTTTTTTTTTACCCCAAATCATATTTTTTAGAAATAAGTATATCACCTATTGAAAAGTTTCTGAAACTGGAATATCATATATTTAATTTTAGCATTTGAAATAAATTATTTTTTTCCTCTCCAACATTACAAAATGTGCACCCGGGTTGAACTTTCACACATAGTGCATCAATTTGTATAATTAACTGATGGTAACAATTGCAGTTTACTTAGCACGTCCTACATCAACATGCAAATACTGTACAGAAGGCCCAGATTTGCAAGCACAATATGCCTAGTGACTTGCAGGTCAATCCAATATCTGCCCACTGAAAATCCTTACCACTTTCAACCCCCCCTGAGAACTTTAAGCTCCAGATATACAATGATTGCAGTATAGTAACAATATTTGCTTCTGGTTGCCCTGAATTTCATCAGCTTTCAGTTGTAGGAAGATTTTCAGCTGGAAATCTGAAAAGTGAACAAAAAGTGATCCATGGAGGAGTTGGAGCAGAATAAAAACTTTCTCACAGCATTTTCATGCATAGTGGGAGTTACGGCTGTGATTAACCTCACAGCCTCTTCCCACTCCAGTTCCTCCAATGCAAGAGTAAATATTGTAAGGCTATGAGGTTGTCATGACCTACTCTGTTTAAGATGTTGGAATAAGTTCAGTAAGAACCAAATTCATTTTCCTGCTTGATTGTGAAGTTCACGGAATAACTTTGAGCTAATTCCCTATGTTGTGGCACAGGAGGGTTGGTCTGAAGATAAGATGTGTATATACCATATACCCATGATGGCGAACCTATGGCACATGTGCCACAGATGGCACGCAGAGCCCTCTCTGGGGGCACACGAGCCGTTGCCCCAACTCAGCTCCACTGCGCATGCGCGCACACCTGCAGCCAGCCAGCTGATTTTCGAGTCTCTGCCATGCACGTGCGGGGGGCGCATGTGGGGGGGCACAGGTCCATGCGTGGGGAGTGGGATGCATGCAGGGGGTGTGTGCATGTGTGGGGGGAAGGCGGAGCATGGGGGCACGTGCGCATGCATGGGGCAAGACACATGAGAGGGTCACATGTACATGCATGGGGGCAGGGGGAGTGCAGGGGGCACATGCGAGGGGGTTGCGCATGCATGCATGTGGGGGGGTCACATTACATAATGGGTGCACTTTCGGCACACAACGACAAAAAGATTAGCCATCATTGCCATATACCATATATTACAGTCAG